CTTCTCCCCCTCCCTCCCTCTCTCCCTGCCCGTTCCTCCTGTGGGGAAGCCCAGGTGATGCTTCTCTGTCAGCCTAGAGCAGTGAGTTAAGGAGCCGGCCCTACGAGCACTGATTGTGTGCAGTGAGCCCAGCAGCGAGCGGCACCTAAAGCAAATGAGATGCTGCAACCCCAGGGCAACTGGCAGGACCTGGAGGAGCAGAGACACAGCCGGAGGCAGCCACCTGCACTTGCGATGCCCTAGGCTAGCCGCACAGGGCCTCCCCAGAGCTCGGCAGGCCCTCCCTCCGTGTGTGGGGCTGGGTTTGGTCTGACAGACAAGAGCTAAGAGGGAGGTGACTGATGGGGCCCAGTGTGAGCAAGGAGGACGGAGACGGACGTCCTGGCCCATCGTTGGATGTGTCAGTCGCTCCAAGTCTCAGGCCAGTGACTGTCTGGCTGTCGGTTTACAGAGTGGAGCCCATGGAGGTCGACCTCACGCCCTCCCCCCTGAGAAGGGTGAGTAGTCTGTTCCCCTGTGTGTCGTGTTTCCTGCATATTCAGGGCCTCCTGCTTCTCAGTGCTAACGACCGTGGCCGCTCCTTCCCGGCCGTGGCCGCTCCTTCCCGGCCGTGGCCGCTCCTTCCTGACCATGCCGCTGCAGGAGGCAGGGCCACGCTGGCGTGGGACATGTGGTGGGCTGCCGCCATGCTCCGCCTCCACCTGGACAAGTGGTGGGAACGGGGATGAGTGAATCCAGGATCCCCTGACAGTCTGTTGGTGAGGAGGTGGGTCAGCTTCACCAGGAGAGAAACATGGGTGACACTGGCGTGTGCCTGGCTGGGACCCAGCCCAGCATGCCGGCCCTGCCAGGGCAGTACCAGGCCCTGTCATCAACACCTGGGTGACGGTTTTGCACCGAAAATGAGGATTTACTCAGGATTTTAAAATGTCTAGTGTCGGCTAAAACTGTCTGCTTTTTCTCTGTTCCAACATTCTTAGAAGCACCTAGCGAATTCCTTGTCCACTCACTGCTGTGGGGGCCAGGAGCACAGTGGGGGCCAGTGGGACACCCTGTCTCACGGGGCTATATCCCAGCAGACTGGGCACAGCAGGCTGGCGAGGGGCTGTGTTCTCAGAGCGGAGGGGCTCTCATTACCCATGAAAACAGTGATGTTACCCACTGTTCCCTTTTCCCATCCTTAGCCTGAGCCAGCCGGCCCCACCAGAGTCTCCCTGATCAGTCCTCCCCAGGACGGACGCATGGGTGAGTCCCTCCCTCACCCGGACCTTGAGGGATGTGCCCGCCTTCAGCCGTCTTCCCCGCCCCGCCACCCCCCCCCCCTGCTTCACAGCCTCCAGCGCCTGCTCGGCCAGGACTCCGCCTCACCTGGTGGCACAGGGAGACGAGGCTCCCACGCTCCCAGTGCTGACCCTCCCTAGATGCCAGGTGTTTCAAGGCAGGTCTGTCTGTGTCGCATCAAATAGCCTTGCTTCCTGCGCGGAAACAGCCCGAGGCTAGGGGGCCCCTGGGGCGGCAGCACTCTGGTCAGGCCCTGCTGGGCTGAGGCCCCAAGGCGCCCTGCTCGAGAGGTTCCGCCTCCGTGCGCCCCCAGCAGACCCTGCGCCCATGGCTCAGCCTGAACCCGCAGAGCCCCGATGGAGAGCCCGACGTCGGGGCAACCAGAGGGCCTGGGCCCACCTGGCCTCAGAGCACTGCTCTCAGGACCCAGACAGTTGTTGACTTGTCGAGGCCTCGAGTTCCTCATCGCTGTTGACCACGGTCACCCCATGGATCCCTGTAAGCGTGAATAAGAGGTGCTTGCCGGACCCCATTACTGAGCATGTGCCGTTCTGCCTGAATGTGAAACCGGGATTTGTGCAGTCGGCTGGGGAGGCCGGCAGATCAGGAGACGGCCCCCATGTGGGCCAGCGGGCAGGCAGGTTCCACAGGGCCAGCCAACCAGGTTTGGCCCTGGCAGGCAGTGTGGGGGTGCAGGGGCTACCCCTCGGGTCAGCCCGACCTCAGGGATTAGGGCAGAGCGGGTTGTCAGATGGAGGAGGTGGCCCGAGCACAAGCAAACCTCTGACCCATGCGATTTAGCCTGCCCAGTGAGGGGCAGTGTGTCTGGGATTCGCAAGGCCCCGGGGAGTCCAACCATCTGAAAATACAGAAAATAAAAACGGGATTTACAGAACCTCCTGGGACGGTTTGCTTCACTGGTTCTCAGCTGTTCTGCGGGGTCTGCAAGTCACTAGGGCAGCATCCCCTACGGTCCCCACAGCCCAGGCCACTTAGTGCTGTCCCACCTCGGGAGCGGGCTCTGCAGTTGTGAAAGGACACAGGGAGCCTCCCCTGCCCACTCTCTTCCTTCTCACCCTGCCCTTTGTCCGTGACCGTTCTCCACAGCAGGGCAGCCCGGGGCTCAGTGGTCACCAGCACGCCCATGCGTGCCCTCTGGGCTCACTAAACACAGCGGGCCTTTGCATCCAAAATGCTTCTCACCAGCCTGGACATGCGGGCTCAGGGGAGATGGCACCTCGGCCCTGATTGGCTCCGCTGACCACCCTCTCCTCAGAGCCCAGAGCTTCTGGGAGCGGTGACAGGAGTGAGTGTGGGGGCGAGTGCTGAGCGCCTCGGGCCCCGGTGTCACAGGCAGAGGCCTGTGGCCTTCACGTGGCTGCTCAGGAGGGTGGTGGCAATGCTCTCGGTGCACAGGGGGTGACGGCTGAGTGGGAAGGGGTGTGCCGGGCGCAGTGGGGGGCAGGGGTGGGACAGTAGGTGTGTCTTCTTCCTGAAGCAGCGCTGTGTTCACCCATCCCCCTGCCGCTCCCCCATCCCCCCCCCCGCAGGCAGCGTCTCCCGCCTAGGCCCTCAGCAGCTCAGCCTGACGCCAGGTCGCACCAGCGGGTTCCAGACACTCAGGTGGGTCCCGGGCGCTCAGGGGGGTCCCGGGCGCTCAGGGGGGTGCCACTCAGGGGGGTCCCGGGCGCTCAGGGGGGTGCCACTCAGGGGGGTCCCGGGTGCTCTGCGGGGTCCCGGGCATTCAGGGGAGTCCCGGCAACTCCTGCAGGACAGGACGGTCAAGGCGGGGAGAGTGAGGAAGGAGGTCTCGCTGTGTGCTCTGGGTCGTGCTGTGCAGACCACTTTATGGTTTGCTATTTTGAAGTTAAAATGCAACTCAGGCCGTTCCAACTCCCAGGCGCCCGCGGGGCTGCAGCATCGCGTCTCAGGGTTCACAGGCGGGCCGGGAGCCGATGGCACATCTGTGTCCCCAACAGCTGCTGACAGAAGCAGGAGCTGGTTTGGCCCATGGGCTGCCATTTGCCGACCCCTGAACAGACCACCACCCATGACCCAGGCCATTGCCTTAGACGTGGGCCTGCATCTGCACAGGCTCTGCCTGGGCCTGGAGGTCAGGCAGGGGCCCCTCATCCCTCCTAGAGCCCCTGATGGCTCCCCATGCCAAAGGCCACATCCACACGGCCACCTGCCTCTGTCCAGCTGTGGCCTTCACATCTTCCCAAGGCCAGAGCCACACTTGTGCCCACGGCCCTGGTGCATGAGGCAACCCCACCCGCTGCCTGACCACAGCTCCCACGCAGGACTGTGCCAGCCCCTCACCCCGCCCACTGCCTGGGACCCGGCCCTTCACCCCGCCCACTGCCGAGGACTTGTCCTCCCGCGGGTGCCTGTGATTGTGACTCCTGGATTTTGTGGGCACCAGCACAGAGGACAGCAGTGGGAGGGCCCGCTGAGAGCAGGCACCCGGCCCTGGCAAGGGGCAGCCCCCACACATCAGAGGCTGCCTGCCGGGCGCTGCGTGTGCCGCTGTCCCAGTGCCATCGCCCAAGCACAGTGCGCGACCTCCCCCTGGGCACTGGGAACGTGTGTTGTAATCAACATGTGGCCTTTAAAACTAAAAAGCATTGTGTTGCCAAAGGCACTGAAGCGCTGGTGATTTTGTTTGTGACCTTGCTCCTAGGATCCCACCTGTGCTGATGCCCAGCCTGGGGGCATCCCAAAACCTCGGCCTCCAGGCGGCTGGCCGAGCGGGAGGAGGGGGCTCGGCCCCGGCAGCCAGGCCGCCCATCAGCATCTCCGGGCTCCTGCAGAGGCAGCAGTCAGGCAAGGACCGCGGCCTCCCTTGGAGAGCGCGTGACCAGCGTGTCGTGTGTGGCAGCACGTGTTCCCGAGTCGTGTCTGAGCTTCCCCTTGGTGCCTCAGGGCTGGTGGTGCTCACACGGTGTCACTGGGCTGTGCTCCACAGGGTCTGCCAGCCTTGGGGGCTTCCCGCCCAGGAGGTGACATCCTGCCGTGCCCACTGCACTCCAGCCACCCTCCCCGCGCTCACCACACGCTCACGTGAGGCAGTGGTGGCTTGTCCATTTCTCCTCAGTGCAGCGCTCCAGCAATGCCATCAAATAAAGCGTTTTTCTGGTTTTCTGGGCCTTGAAACTACCTTCCTGGTGCCAGGTGCTCCTGCACCGTGGACCGTGGGTGCCGCGAGCAGCGCCTCCGGGAGGTTTTCTGATCAAGTGCAGAGCCGGGAGGCAGGGCCGCAGTCTGAGGAGCCCTGACAGAGCCTGCACTGACCCACACGCAGGCCTGGCCAGCAGCTCAGGCCAGCCCTGTGCCTGGTACCTGTCGTCTGTGACATCCTGTCACGTGTGCCTGCGACTCAGTGTGACGCTGTTCCCGGCCGGGCAGGTGGGACTGATGCTCCAGCTCGGCTGGGACAGTGCTCCCTCGCGCCCACCAGCTGGGCCACATGAGAGGGGAGGCTTGTGGGTTCGTTGTAATCCTCTACGTCATCAGCTCTGCGTGTGCGCTGCGTCACCTGGACCCGCGCCTCACGGAGTGGGGGATACACGGGCAGGTAGCACTCAATTGCAGGTGAAGCCCCGTCACACGGCCCGGGAGCCCCCAGCAGCGGGAGCCCTGGCGCACGGCACGGATGGCTGTCCCGTCAGCGAGTACACAAGTGCGGGGGACGCCCGCCACCCAGTGACTTCAGGGGATATGTGTTCCAAGTGGGTTCCAGTCCCAGGAACGTCCACGTGTTGTGAGTGCCTGCTGGGAGGGTGACACCCTCCCCACGGTCTCGGGGTTCGTAGGGCGAGGGTGGCCACCCAGCCTGACGCCAGCTGGGCTACCTGCGTCCTGCTCAGCGGCCGGTGCCAGGGCCACGGTGAGGATGAGGGCAGCCCCTCCCTGGCCATCTCAGACCTCAGTTCCTCCTCTGCAGCCTCTCACCACATGTCCCCCACGAGAACTGGGGCGGCGTCTGACACAGCTGTGTGTAGCTGCCGCCAAGGCCCCGCCTGGGCTCTGTCCTCCCCGCAGCCTCTGTGCAGCCGAGTCGGCGGGCTTCTGAGCTCAGCTCCACGTTTGCCCATCTCGTGTGCCCGCCGGGCGAGGCCTCCCCAGGCTACGGGAGGCCCTGGTCGCCTCCACGCCAGCTGCTAGCAGAGTGGGGCCTGGGGCCGAAAAATGTGCCCCTGAGTTCCCCACGTGCCTTAGTTGTATCTCCCAGAACCGCCCGTCGTGTGAGCATCTTATTTGCAGAGATGCACCCCACTCTGGGGAAACGGGGCTCTCACACCAGCTGCCTCTGCTCCTTCACGATGCTGTTGATGTGTTCATGTGGGACATGGCAACATGGAGTCTGAGGGAGCAGGTGGGGCCACGGCACCCCAGGCCCCTTCCTGGTGGCCACAGGCATGTCCTGCAGGACCTCCGCGAGGCTCCGCCCCGTCCAGGGCACCAGGGGTGCTGGCCCAGCTGCAGCAGGAGGAAACCCAACGCTGAGCCTGCAGACAGCGGGAGGAAACAACGCTGAACGGTGCCGTGCTTAACGTGGAGGTTCAGCCCCACGGATAGAGACGGCCGCCAGACAGACCCATCCCCTTCGCCGCTGTTACAGCTGTGTGGGCGCCGCCGGGCACCTGGATGTCCCCGTGGAGTGGGCTCAGTGGACACGCAGCCCCAGGAACAGTACGGGTGTCAGTGGCCCAGGAAATGTCACGCTGAGTGACCTGGCGGAGCCTCAGGAGGGGCCTCAGGACTGTGCCTGTCCATTCAGGGGGCAAACCTCCGACACGGGGTGCGAGGTGGGGAGACACTGGCCGCAGACCACTCCGTGCCGCCTGTCCTGGTCTGTATGACAACTTCTGTCCAGTTGTGCCCACTGGTGTGTCCGTGTCTTACACCCGATCCGTGCGCCAGCACCTGCTACGTGGGTGACAGCGCACCTCCTGTCCTGGTTTTCATGGTTCCTCATCTTGTTTTAATTGCAAGGTGACACCTCTTCCTTCAAGCCCAGGACTGAGCAAGTGGGGGGCAGTCCACTCACAGTGGCACCTCAGCCCCAGAAACAGCCCAGCCTGGGGGCCAGGACCCAGGCTCCTCTTCCCAAAGCCCCCTCTCCCCCGAGACTCCTCTTCTGCTGCCTTCCCACCAGCCATCCCCTCAGGAACACCCGCGCCCAGGACCCCCATCCAGGCCCCGCCCTGGCCACACCGTCGTCTTTGGCTGCTCAGCACCTTCCAGGCCAGGTCTCACCTTTCAGACCCGCTTGTGGTCGGGCCACTTGGGTTTAATGAGAATGGGCCCACATGTGAGCCAGTATCTGCCAGCGTGGTTGTGAGCTCCTCCCGTGGCTCCCGTGGTCCAAGTGGGAGTGAGCAAGTCCTGCTTAGTGCCCCCTCCTCAGTGAGCATATCGCCGCACCCCCTCCCAGCACCTACAATGACAGACTCAGCACCCCAAAGCCTGCCCCAGACACTGGAAAACCGGGGGGGAGGGTGCGGGGGGCCAGGTGAGGGCACAGAGCCCCAGGAGTGGGGCTCAGCCTGGAGATGAGCAGATATCAGGGTTCTGGAGCAGGTAGGGAGTCCAGGGATCCCAGGATAATGGGGTTCCAGGGCTGATGCAGAGTGGGGCTGGGGGCTGCCCGAGGACGGGTCTGATCCGAGACACTCGGCAGGCACGTCTGAGTCCTGCAGCCGCCACAGAGCCCCCCAGGAGCACCTGGGCCACAGCCCCTGGCCTCCCCGTCCGCCCCGGGAGCACAGCCCTCTCCGGAGCCATCACAGAGGCCCTTTCACCCTCCGCCATGGCTCGGGGGAGGCTGTGAATGAGTGTCTTTCAGGCTGGGAGGAAATTCCTAAAATTCTTTGTGGGCAGTGCTGGGCTGCACACCGATTCTCTGTCGCACTCAGGGCCGTGCAGCCGCACTCTGGCGGTGGAGCAGGGGGCGCAAGCCCTCAGACCCGGTCCTCCTGAGGGGGCTCGCGGATGCCAGCAGCCTGGTGCCCCAAGTGACCCACCGGGTCTGCCCTTGAGGCCCCTGCCACCATCCATGCACGTCAGGAGAGGCCACCACCACAGGCGCGCTCCATGCCTGGGGCCCGCACTCACCCCGCGAGGGCACGTGGCCTCGCGGGAGCGCCCGCTGCCTGAGCCCCGGCGCCAGGTCTGCTCAGGTTCACCCGTCAGTCTCGTCTTCACGTCCCGTGGAAGGACCCTCACCCACAGAAACGCCAAGTGGGGTGGGGTCTGAGACCCTGCGTCCCGGCTGACAGCTGGCCCCACGCACACACGTTTGCACACTCACACATGCACACAAATGCTTGCCCGCATTTTCTGAACCATGACCACGGACACTAGCCTGTTTCAAGGGCAGTGGCTCCGTGGTTCTCATCCCGGCTTCCTCTGGCATTTCCATGTGGCAGTCGCCCGTCACAGACGTGGGGCCTGGCTGTGTCCTCAGAGGAGGCGTGTGGGCGGGTGGGGTCTCACGTGCCTGGTGGGGGCACCAGGGAGCCCAGGGCTTCCCCGTGGAAGAGACGCCTCTGCAGACCGTGTGGTGGGGGCGGAGCTTGTAGCTGGTGTCAGGACCTTCGGGAAGCCCGTAAATCCACCTTCAGGAAATGTCTCCTCTCCGGCCGGCAGAGGCCTCAGCACCCACTCTCCCAGCCTCCCCGTCGAGCCCCTGCAGGGGGTGGGCGGGCTCAGGAGGGCGACTGACATACATCGTCACGAGCCAGCATGCAGGAGGAGCCCACCCCACTGGGGGTGGCAAACGCGGCCTTCTGGCTGCGTCAGGGAAACTGAGGCCCAGAGCCACGCCCAGCCCCCCCTCCCTGTTGCCCTCAGGGTCCAGATGTGGCACGGGACGCGGCGGCCTCTCCCTGCCCCTCTGGACACACTCCAGCCACGTGCACCACGCGTGAACGGGCCCCGGGCGAGGACCCTCCCGCGTCCACGGCAGGTGGAGCCACCGCAGGCCCCGTGCAGCCCTTGCGGACACTCGTCTGCTTCACTCCATGCACTTTCGCTGCCTCTGGCTTCTGCGCTTTTAAATCTGGGCCTAAATTTGAAGGAAGAGTGACTCGCCTCAGGACTTCCCTGAGCCAAAACCCCCGGCGACTAATTGGGAGCCGGCGGAGTGTGAGCCGGCGTCCTGGTCTGGGGTTTGCTTTCTCTGCAGGGCCCAGCCTGCAGCCCGGCCCGTGCTGGCAGGCAGCGCAGACCGGGGCCCATCTCCCTGGCACCCGAGGCACACGGAGCATCACCCACATGCGCCTGGGTTCTTTCCTGGCGCATGCTGTGGGGCTGGGGTCACCATGGGGCCCCTCTGGTGTCCCCACCTCAGGAGAGAGGATAGCTGGGCCACGGTGGCTTCTAGAATTCTCCGCAGGGTCACCCTTCACAAGGACATTCGACAAGACCGCGTGTCAGAGGAGGAGCCCCACGCACACACCCAGGGCTTCAGGGCAGCTCGGCCGGCTGAGGATCGGGCCAGCGCCCAGCCTTCTGGACCATCTCCAGCTCTTGCCGTGAGAAACCTCCCGGGAGCTGGTCCCAGAGTCGCCCCGGGCTGGGGCACCCCTGGCGGGCAGGGTGGGGGCCAGGGCACGGGCTGGAACCGCCGCCTCCTCGTCCTCCATGGCTGCCGGCTTCCAAGTGCGAAGAGCTCGGGTCGTGGCACCAGGAATGTTCGCTGTTTCCAACGAAAACAGGCCGGCCTGGCGCCTGGCGTGGGGGACACGGGGATCAAGGCCCCTCCCCGAGGACGCCTGCCTGGGCCCAGCATGCCCACCCCCAGCCAACAGGACCTCAGTCCTCCCCAGAGACCTGACCGGAGTGTGGGCAGGTGAGGAACATGCTGACTCCCACTGTGTACACGCATGCTCGGACACACGTGTG